TGGACGTAACGGGAAACACAACATTAATTTTCTTAGGCCTGACCGGATTCATCAAAAGAGAATGAAGGTAGGGTTGATTCACCTTACTACATTATTTACTGCCTTCAAAGAAGAACCTAACCTCATGATAGCAAGGAGCTAGTAACGTCATTTATATCATATAAGAGCAAGAGGAGTAGCAGAAGTATAAGTTTTCCAGATATTACATGTATATAGTATGACTCTGTAAAAGCAATTAGCCTTCGGGCATGAACTTTAATTACTTAATTGTAGCTACTTAACGATGTCCTTTTGTTGTGACCTGTACTTCACCCAGTGGGTATGTGTGTACAATAAAGGTCTTCATTAATTCAATAGAGCTATTCTAATTAAAAGAATGGCCAGGAAATGACTAAAAATTCAGTTCTACCGCCGTGAAATTGTTTTTGGATGCCAAAGTCTGGATTATCGATTCTCCGTACAAACCTGTGATTCACACCTCGCATCCCTAGAAATACCCCTCAACCAACCAATAAATCAATATCTTTGTGTCTAAAGTAAACATAGACGTTAACTACTTTAAACACGTAACTACCCACACAGATAAACTTTCATGACATGATCACGTCCTCTTAACGTCGCCGCACCAGAAGTCTGCGAAGGAGGCTAGCAGCTAGCTTAGCGTAATGTAGAATGTACAAGTAGAGTCGGAATATTTTCTAGCCAGTACATAGTTCTTTATAGTACTCTGTCAGACACAGTAACCGTTGACCATATATGTAGCATTATGATAGATACATACCAACTAATAATCATTATTATTTGCCATACATCGTACCCGTGACAATCGTTGTGCAATAAACTTTGACTTGACTTATAACACCGAACGACTGGTTACACCCAATATATCAAAATATCAAACGAGAATTGGGAAATATCAAAAGAGAATGAGGGTAGGGTTGATTCAACTTACTACATTAAAAGAATGACCAGGAAATGGCATGAAAAACCCAGCTCTACCGGCGGGCGTGAACTTGTTTTTGGACCTCAAACTGTCAAAGTCCGGCTTCCCCGTACGAACCTATGACTCAACCCCGCATCCCTGGAAATCCCCTGAACTCGACACCCGAGCCTTTTGATTGGATGTCACGCGGTAAACCCACTTCCGGTGCCTGTCAGCGTCTCTGATTGGTTGTCAGGGCTCTGACGTCACGTCGTCAATAAGAGTAGGTCGGGACCCCGGCCAGGGTAAAGCGTTGCCTCTTGGCACGGTCTCCGCACTTTTCAGTACACCGCCGGAACAGATCGCACGCACCCAACTCACTGCAACTGTACGCAGTGAACAAGTGTAGTAACACCGCGGAAGTCTGGAAAAGGAGAGGGCGAAAAACTCCAAGATGAAAGAACAGAGCCAGAAGATCATCACAGGTGTAAGACTACTGGGGATTGAGAAGCGCTATGTCCCCAACAAACATTACGTAAGTACCATACGCACTAGCCTCCGCCAGGGCTTTCTACGGGAATACGGATCGTAGAATTCGGCAGAAAAGAGAGTAAAATTGGCCAAGGGAGTCCGGCCGCGGGGAGGTAGTTTCTTTCCCTCCGAAGGCCTGTCAAACCTACTAGGCGGCCAAACTCCCCGGCAATTATTCTCCTATATATAGCCAGCGTAGTTAGTTTGGTAGAGACTAAGTACTAGCCTCCATAGCATGCCAAAAACTGATTTTTTTTGGGGGGGGGGGGTTTCAGGGTCTTTGAGAGCTTTTATGTGCTATTTTCTAAATAACATATAGACAACATAGCCGGCCTGGTTGAATTACCCCCGTTTTTTAGAACTGGGCTAATCAGAAAACAGTCGAAGACCACCAAACCCCCAGGCTGCTACGAAGGCTACGTAAGGACACGGAGCTGCGAGCTAGCGATTTGTATACAGTCTTAAATTAACAGCCAAAACATAGTTTAGAGATTACTCTCAAAGCAGAGGTTAGTGGGTGAGATTGTGACCTTTTTATTCAATTCGATCACATGCCACTTTTTTTACTGTCGCTATCACCACCATATGATGCAATCTTCCCTAGCCTCTACCAGGCTTCGGCCAGTAGGCGGCTGGAAAGAGTAGAAACCGGGGGAGTTGGTCTGCTGGAGAGTACATTTTGTAGCAGACCAACTCCCTTGGCATGCCATCTCTATATTTGACCGATTTCTACTCTTTCCAGCCGCCTCCCGAAGCCTGGTAGAGGCCAAATCCGTTCCCACCAATCTCTGCTCTGAGAGTATTAAACGTTTTGTACATTGTATATGTACGGTCTTTGACCACGGCCAAAACATATATAGTTTAGATGCCAGCACGGTATCTTGTCACGATATGACTTGGGGCCCGAGAAGTTTTAGTACTTTACAAGTTTGTATTTTGTATCTATTGGCAATGATTCGTGCCGTAAAGTTGTCTTTGATTGATTGAATTAAATATTTGGGGGCGTGGTGGTCACCCTTCTCAGGAGGCATGTACTTTCACTTGTCTGTGTCACAGCAAGGTAGGGACTGCGAAAAAAAAAACGGTTTATTCCCGATTTCTATGAACGTGCTGGTATCTTTTTCGGTATTTTGTGTGTAGCGTGGTTTGAGATGACAGGGAAAAGGAAAAAATCCTGGTGAGAACCCTGACTACAAGTCGATTCTTTCGTACGTCCTATCTGTTCACTGCACCTAATCTGCACAGACAAGCCGCTCCCACCATTGTTGTTGTTAAACAGTAGCTACTTTTCAGGCGTTCTGTAGTTACCCTTCTAAAGTTACCCTTAAGGTACCCTTCTTAAGGGTACCTGGCCCATACGCTGTGAAAAAAAATCCTGGTGAGAACCCTGACTAGTACTAGTCGTTCTTTCGTCAGTTCCACCTGTTCACTGGACCAAATCCGCACAGGCAAGCCGCTCCCACCATTGTTCTTGTGAAACAGACTTGTTAGACATGATGACGATTTGTCTAACGTGGGCAGTAGATCTGATAATCTGGTCCTATTTGTGGTGACGGCACACTCAATACAAGTTTTTTTTTTAACTTATCATTGATTAATACCGCCACCAACACAGGGGGCAATACAAAGTCGTGTGAAGTGTAAAGTGCCTTTCACAAGATCGGTGGCATGTCAGGACTCGAACCAGGGACCTCTTGGTTCCGAGTCGAGTACTCTGCCGCTACGCCACAGGACCCCACAATTATATGCTATCCAGTCAGACATGATGACGATTTGTCTAACGTGGGCAACAGATCTGATAATCTGGTACTATTTTTTGCTGCCCAACCCATAAAGTTTTTGTCTATCGGTAATCATCTTCTTTCCAGTCTTTTACTGCCCAACTGTAAGGTTTAATGCTACACCTACATTTTCCGGGGTTTGGCTAGGTAATTAATAGGCGTATCACTTTCCCACATCGTAAAATAGAATGGGAATGCTGTGAATGGGTACAATTTTTTAAATACATTCCAACATGTAATCACAAGACGTGGTGACGGCACACTCAATACAAGTTTTTTTTAAAACTGATATTAATACCGCCACCAACACAGGGGACAATACAATACTCATTTTCCCCTGAGCGAAGTGAGGAAAGTCGTGTGAAGTGTAAAGTGCCTTTCACAAGATCGGTGGCATGTCAGGACTCGAACCCGGGACCTCTTGGTTCCGAGTTGGTCACGATTTGTCTAACGTGGGCAGTACATCTGATAATCTGGTCCTATTTTTTGCTGCCCAACCCATAAAGTTTTTGTCCATCGGTAAATCATCTTCTTTCCAGACGATTTGGTTTTTTACTGCCCAACTGTAAGGTTTAATGCTACACCTACATTTTCCGGGGTGCGGCAAGGTAATTAATAGGCGTATCACTTTCCCACATCGTAAAATAGAATGGGAATGCTGTGAATGGGTACAATTTTTTAAATACATTCCAACATGTAATCACAAGACGTGGTGACGGCACACTCAATACAAGTTTTTTTTAAAACTGATATTAATACCGCCACCAACACAGGGGACAATACAATACTCATTTTCCCCTGAGCGAAGTGAGGAAAGTCGTGTGAAGTGTAAAGTGCCTTTCACAAGATCGGTGGCATGTCAGGACTCGAACCAGGGACCTCTTGGTTCCGAGTCCAGTACTCTGCCGCTACGCCACAGGACCCCACAATTATATGCTATCCAGTCAGACATGGTCACGATTTGTCTAACGTGGGCAACAGATCTGATAATCTGGTACTATTTTTTGCTGCCCAACCCATAAAATTTTTGTCCATCGGTATTCATCTTCTTTCCAGACGATTTGGTCGTTTACTGCCCAACTGTAAGGTTTGTTTAAGGTTTACACCTACATTTTCCGGGGTGTGGCAAGGTAATTAATAGGCGTATCACTTTCCCACATCGTAAAATATGCACCTTGCTGTGCTATCAATGATGAAATCTCAATTTTCTGGGGTGTGGAGAGTCTCTCACTCACCCAATCCTCCACGATGTATACACACACACACTCACTTAGTGTGATACACACACACGCGCGAGTGCAAGCACACACACACACACACACACACATACGCACACGCACAGACACAGACGCACACACACACAAACACTGTGGTACGCACACACACACACACACACACACACACACACATACGCACACGCACAGACACAGACACACACGCACACACACACAAACACTGTGGTACGCACACACACACACACACGCG